TATTATATATAAAGATATATATGGATAGATACTTTTGTATTTATAAATACATAATCTGAGAATAAATACAAATAAACTGTTAGCATTTGAAAACCTTCCATTATTGTTTTAGATTTGTCACAGTACTTACCATACCACACAGTAACTATGTTTCTTCATACCATTCTGTCAAAGTAGCTTGCCGTAGAGGCTTTCATGTTTTTTCATGATCTTTTTGCATTTCCCATTTAACAATAAACAGGCACCACGGTTGTAATATTTTATCTTTCACTTTTACTTTATTAAAGTGATGTTTGAATTTTGAGATCAGGCTTCAGTCTTCCAAGTATGAGTATGTTTTAATTCAAATTAAGTCATTCTAAAGGAAAATCAAGGAATCTCTATGTTTAGAAACAGACACAAAAGTAGAGCCCAGGAAAACAGTCACGCTTACAGCCTGCACTTTTTGGCATAGGTATATGTGGTTTTCTGAATTACTTCCTTTATTTAGGGAAGCAGACATTCTCTTGCTTAGGTTTTTAAATGTCTGGGTTTAAAGTCATCATTTTCTTGAATAACATTTTCTTCAAAAAGAGAGAAGTGTTCAAGAGCAAAACCTACTCCTATTCTATTTCCCAAAACTGATTAACACAGCTGTGAATGTTACAAGTTTTCTGTAGATTATTGTAAGCATTTTTTTCAAGTTTAGGAAAAAAGAACAACATTAAACTCATGTTATGCTCTTACAGGGAGTGAAATGTCAAACATATTTTAGGAGTCAGTATAAACAAATACACAGTTATCAGCATAGTATTGTTATGATTCATTTTTCTATTACAATCACGCTATTCATATATTTTTATGTGGAGATGGCTTATGTGTTAAGAACTAAAAATTGTTCAGGTCTTCTCTGCTGGAATAGAATGCTTAAATGGTGCACGAAGCCTTCACTTTTATGACTCAACTGCACAGCCCGTGGGCAGGATGCTTCTCTTGCACTGTGTAAGGAACTTTTGCTGCTGCTTCTTGACCAAGGACAGAAAGGCCAAGGAACATTGTCTGCAGCCAAGAAAAGATATGAAGTCATCACACAGATGCCTCACCACAATGTCCCAAGACTTACCAGGATTACAGGAAGAACTGGGGTTAAAGCTCTCATAACTATCATCAAATGAAGATGAATCATTCATAACCCATATTATACATCACAGGGCAGTTCACTAATATTTTTGTAATGTAAAGCACAGACGTAGAGTAGGAAAGTGTTACAGAATCATAGAATGCGTTGGGTTGAAAGGGACCTTTATAGGTCATTTAGTCCAACCCCCCTACAGTGGGCAGGGATGTCTTTGACTAGATCAGGTTGCTCAGAGCTCCATCCAGCCTGACCTTGAAAGTCTCCAGGGATGTGGCCTCCACCACCTCTCTGGGCAGCCTGTGCCAGTGTTTCACCACCTTCATTGTAAAGAACTTCTTCCTAATCTCTAATCTGAATCTACCCTGCTCTAGTTTAAAACCATTGGCCCTCATCCTGTCGTTACATGCCCTTGTGATCGGTCCCTCCCCAGCTTTCCTGTAGGTCCCCCTCAAGTACTGGTAGCCTATTATAAGGTCTCCCCGGAGCCTTCTCTTCTCCAAAATTCCCTCAAACTGTCCTCATAGGAGAGATACTCCAGCCCTTTGACCATTTTTGTGGCCTCCTCTGGACCTGCTCCAACAAGTCCATGTCCTTTTTATGCTGGGAACTCCACAGCTGGACACAGTACTCCAGATGGGGTCTTACCAGACCAGAGCAAAGCAGAGGGGCAGAATCACCTCCCTGGACCTGCTTACAGAAACTTCAGGCATATTTATTCAGGAGAAAAATGGAAGGAATATAGATGGGATAACACAGTCACCAGCCAGCTCTGTTAATTATCCCAAAATCTGCTTTTTTCTTCAGGTTAAAATTTTGAATGGTAAGTTTTTCTATGCAAGGCCTTCATTTTGAAAAATCAAAGGTTTTATTTAATTGTTTTCTTCCTTAATTTTCTCATAAAGAAATCTGTGTTCATAAAGTGAAGGTCTTGGATTGTTGTTGTCATTGTTACTATAACTCTCACAGTCTATGTATGTGGTTGTTTTCATAGGCCTCACCTTGACACATCAGCAGAGCTGAGATATTCTGTGGGCTCCCTGGTTGATAGTCAATCTGACTATCGGTCAACTAAAGTGATAAGGCGACCTAGAAGAGGCCGGATGGGAGTACGCAGAGATGAACCAAAGGTTAATCTACAATTTCTTCTCTATAATCCCTGATAAGAGAATGTATTTCAGGTATAAAGCTTACAGTTTGTGTTTTTCCAGGGGAAAATTAAAAAAAGCAACAAAAAACCTCACTAAACAAGGAAACCCAACCCACATAGCAGGATTTTTTTCTATATATGCTCAGACAAAAGTGCTGTTTTAATAAAATGCAGAAACTGTTGAAGTTCAGACATCAAAGTTCAATCATACTTGACTATCTGTCTTTTCTGGGTATCTTTTTTGTATGTTTTTTCTTGATAGTAGTTTTACAACCATTAGAAATTATGTGAAAATATATCATCTGCAGTAATATTGCAAGTATTAATGGAGAATTAATCATTTAATAAGTACTTAAATGTTAGTTGCTTTCTTTTCCGATTTTACAAAAGTTCAACTTTGCTGTTGTGTTCCATGGAATAAGCCATTTACATCCTAATTCCTGCTCAGGTAAAATCACTTGGAGATCACGAATGGAACAGGACCCAACAGATTGGTGTTTTGAGCAGTCATCCATTTGAAAGCGACACTGAAATGTCCGACATCGATGACGACGACAGAGAGACGCTTTTCAGCTCCATGGACCTCCTGTCACCAAGTGGCCATTCCGATGCGCAGACTCTGGCCATGATGCTTCAGGAGCAGCTAGATGCAATCAATAAAGAAATCAGGTAGGTAGCCTGAACCAGCTGTGATGCAGTTAGGAGTACAGCCTCAAGCTTCCTTTAGTGCACGAGTCCAGGTGCCTTTCATAACAATGAGAAAACCACTTGTACATTTTAAGGATTGATAACACATCCACTTTTCATAGGAGAGTGTTGTTTGTGTGAACATAGCAATGGTGTCTTAATTTCGTAACCATAGAAATTTCTTTCAAAAGATGTTCTAAGTGAAGACCTGGTGGTCATTTGAAGAGAAATACATGAGAGAAGGCTAACACATGGCAAATAATGACAGATCACTCTTTTCAAGGTCTTTTTCATTGTTCTGCATGACTCCACTTACTCAGGAACGACCTCTTATTGAAATATTTTATTTCAGTGCTCTTCATGCTTTCTTCTGGTAATTATTCCTATGTTACATCTAATATAAGCCATATTTTCTAAGGCATGGTTTCGATTTTCTGTGAAGGCACAGAATGTGATTTTTCATGCGCCAAGTTGGGCTATAGTGCCTGGAAACAGGTGGTGAATTCAATGTATCTGAATAATTTCTGTGCAAATTTAAGACTGATAGAGAATCCAATGGTTTTTAAATTAAGTAATTTTTATAAATGAAACCATATTTTAGGCTTGAAACATTCCTACATGTTTTTAAGGAAAAGACTTGGTGTATGCAAAATATCCTCTCATTAGTGGCTGTTTGCCTTAGGAAGAAATGAAGGAGATGTTACTAAATGTATTAGTGACTGTGGTTAGAAATATGATCAAAACCAGATTACCTTTTGCCAGATCTCAGTCTTTCTCTGAGCAAGGTGACTTTAAAGGGAGAATGCAATATACTGCATTTTAATAACTTCTCTTTCAAGGGAAGACTTTTTTGTCATAGATCTACAGCTTTGCATTTTGACTGCTCACAGAATGTCTTCGTTCAGATAGGATTAATCTGCTGTTTTCTAAGATTCCTTATTACATCTTTCAAGATACAGAGTCAAAGATTAATTTTCTTGTTGGGAGGGTAAATCTCCTTAAAACAGTGTATGTGGAAGAGAGAGCTTAATCCATACTTTCTGTTATTACAAAGAAGTCACCACTGTGACTGTTTCAGGAAGCTAGATGTAACAAATGTATTTTTTTAAAAAAAAATAGCATTTTGACAATTTAACAAGTAATTATGTAAAACAATAAAATGTTTTCACAGAACATTGTACCTGCTGGTGACATAGTGGGATATTACACGTGCCATCGTGAATTACATCACTGCTTTTCTTAACATGTGATTCAGATTTTATATTACTAAAATAAAAAAGACTGTTATAATTTTCCTTCAAAATATTATTTGCCTTTTAAGTTCCTGGCACGCATCACTTCAGAAAGAACTATAGACATTTTATAGAAAATATGAAATGGATGTTAGGGAGGAAGATTTAGCACAGGCATTTGTACGTTTCTGTTGTCAATGTATTATGGCTTCATTTATTGTTCTTGCTTCATTTCACTCAGAAAAGCCTGGTTCACAGTTTCAGTCTCCCCAGACTTCCTATTCTCTCATTTAACCTTGCTCCTTAATGTCTTTTCCTCCTCTTTGCAAAAAAAAGGCTTCTTTTAACATGAGATTGTGGGGAAAGAACTTAAAAACAAATGTGTTATTTTAAACACATCTTACCATTCTAGTTGCAATCACAATTACAGTTAAAACCAACAAACTCAGTTGAAGCATGCTGTTGAGGCAACATACGCTTAAGAAATATAGTTGTTGCCAACAAGAGCGTTATTTTAATGAAATTCACGTAAAACCATAATTCTTTAGAAACAACTGTCATTTTTTCATCCATTTGTAGGGATGAGACAGTCACATTGGTTTGTATGTTCTCTCATTTTATTAATATGGATTATCTTAGCAATTCCCTTCTTAAAGGGCCAATTTCATTTGACTTGAAATTTGTGTTTGTGCTTTAACGACAGAAAATCAGATGAAGTCAACTTAAGATTGGAATTATTTTCCGATGGTTAAATCAGATTGTTAACTCCCCCTCTCCTATATTGTCTCCTTCGCAAGGGACCCAATCTTCCTGAAATGTTGTATGTCAAGTCTTGTTGCTGGGCAGATTCTTCAAACAGTTTTTGATGATGGAGGAATTAAGAAGAATTTTTTAACTCTGGTGATTAAAAAATACACTTTTCCGTATTATTTTACAACTGATCTGTGATATTCATCTTTTATTTTTAAATCTAATTCAAAAGGAAACTTCTAGTTTTGCTTTTGGAATGTGCAGGGACAAAAACAACCATGTTCTTTTGTTTAATAAGGTTAATCCAAGAAGAGAAAGAGTCAACAGAACTGCGTGCCGAAGAGATAGAGAACAGGGTGGCCAGCGTGAGCCTGGAAGGTTTAAATCTAGCCAGAGTCCACCAAGGTACCTCCATCACTGGCTCTGTGACGGCATCGTCACTTGCAAGCTCATCTCCTCCCAGTGGACACTCAACTCCCAAACTCACCCCTCGCAGTCCAGCCAGGGAGATGGACAGAATGGGGGTTATGACGCTGGTAAGGAACTTTGTGATGCCAATTTTAGGTGTGATAGTTCTACTGTTAAATACTTTGTCTTTTCACTGTATGAATGGCTCCTCCCTAGAATATGGGCATTTGGGTGGTTTGGGGTTTTGTTACTGTGTTTTTTGAGCATTGCATGATTCACCGGGGACATGGTGATCTGAGGATCAAGGCTGTTGGATTAATAAGCAACAGATCATTGGGATTACTGTAATCAATTTACATGTTTAAAATGTTTACTAATGCTCTGAAGTGATCATTACTGCATAGTAGTCTGTGGGACTGTTGATGACTTTAAACCTCCAGGAAATTTCTGGAAGACATTAAAAGCTCCTCCTACTTCATATATTTGATAATTTGGATATACATTTATATTTGGTATACTCTTTACACCTGAAGCATTTTGTGTGTGTTCTTCTTGATGGTATGTCAAGAGTTTGAAGTAAGTGCTTTGTTTTCCAGTAATTCATTTAACTAATATATAACATTACAAGCAGCACACAAGCCATCAAATTATCACACAAAGCATTTCTAACATTACTGTACCTTTGAGGACATATTCTGAAATGTCTGGTGTGATTTGAAAAGAGATTTACAAAAGATTAAATTTTGGTCCTAGACAAAACGTAACAGTGAAACAGTCAAGTCAGTAAAGGTGGTATGTGTCAACATATTCAAGAAGAGTGCAGACACAGGGCTCAGTCTTCCGTGTGGTTTAAAAATCAGTTTGGAGCCTGAGGGAGTTCATCCCTTTAAGCACTACGACAGAATAAAAGCAACCCATTCCACTAATCTCTGCATACAGAGAGGAGAACAGGATATGTGTAACCACTTTTTTTTTTTTTTTTGCTAACCCTCTGACAATTGTAATGTCACCAATGTCCCCTGGTGGCCCATTCCTGGGAAGCAGCAGCACTGGTTCCCCGTGGAGCCTCTCAGCAGAGGGGAAATGAGCCTTGATCTCAATGAGAAAGCAGAAATTAACTCCCCTAGCTGAGAAGATTGCCAAGGACAGCTAGGAGGGGAGCCTGGCTGTTCATTCTGCTCAGCTGGCAGTAGGGACCTTTGGGTACCGTCATTTAGCCAAGTCCTCCCTTTTCCAGGGAACTGATGACTACTTGTACCCATCTCTACCCCTCCCAGTTTACTGCCTTCTTGGGAACTAAAGACAGCAGAGAGGAGGTCGAGACTGGTGGTTGTGGCAGACTGCAGCACTGGTTCTTTGCTGCCCCCAGTCCCCAGTGCTGAGCAGCAGAAAGGAAAGCGTTGGTGGCACAGCCTGTTCTGGAGGAGGTGGATGTGCAGGCTGCTGCAATGCCACCCACTTCAGCAGAGCAGCACCTTCCCAAATATGCAGGTTGGCTCCATTTCACCAGCCATTTAAACTAAGCGATCACTACAGATAAATGGCAATGGTTAAACTGACCTTCCAGCAGACACCTGCCCTGCCTGGACGCAGACAGTAAGTTCATCAGATTCAAATACAAAATGACAGCAGGGCCTCTGCCCTTCAGGTTGCCATGGCTCGCTGCCATCCAGCGCCGGCTGCACTAAAGCTCACATGGATATGTCTGCATGAGTTACAGTTGAACTCTTGACATACCATAAGCTGGGGAAGCAGCACCTCGCTGCATGCTCAGCAGCACAGCCCAAAGCTTCGCTCACCCGCATCAACCGCTTCAGGACGCTTCCGCCCTTGAGTTCAATGCTGAATATCTCCTCTTTAATGGCTCGGGACAGACACAACAGGCTGTCAGACTTCCTCTAAGTCGAAACTTTGCGCTGGGAAGAGTTCTGTACAGGCCTGGTCTCTAAAGCCCAAATTGCCAAATGATCTTGTAGAGATTAAGTGAAAAAACGCTACTGCATGAATGTCCACAGCATGGGTCCATGCTGCAGAGTACCTTCAGCTTTCCTTGAATGAATTAGACATCTACCAAAGATAAATAAGAAAAGGGGGTTGAACAAGACTCATTCTACTGCCAAATAATTCTGCAGTACAGAAGATGAGTGAAATTGTAACCATTAACTGAAAATGCCAGTCACTTTAATATAGGATAACTGGAGAGAAATACTCCTTTTACAGTCACGGTATTTATTGTTGATATTTTGTGTTTATACTTGATGACAAACAAATAAATTTGTAATATTAGATAAAACTAAAAAAAAAAAAGTCTTCATGTTGGGGGTAGTGGAAGGATTTATGTGAAAACTCCAAAAATAAAAATTGCTGCTATAAGCTAGCAACGTCCTACTCTTTTGCTAAGGTTATGAAAATTAAGGAGATTGCCACTTTAGATAAAATAACTGCTTTCCCGAAATGGCATATTTGTCAGGGGTTATCTTACGTTATGACACCGAGAATATAATTATATAATAAGAATAGTATTAAGTTAATGGAATCTCAGTTCGCCAATTCTGAGTGTACAAAGAATGAGAGTGTGACATTTTGTTATGCTCAAATGAGTTTTATTAACCATTCTTTTTTGTTGTTGCTGCTTTTGTTACCAATCTAAGCCAAGCGACTTAAGGAAACATCGGAGAAAGGTATGATACTTGGCTTGTTTTTAAGTTTGGGAGAGCACATTTATCATAAAACTCTGCTATTTAGATAACCAGTTTCCTTGCAAGACACTGCATCCTCTTTGTCCCTTTCATTCAATTCCTGAACATAATTTTAATTCTAGTTGGAAAAGTTGGCGGGGGTCACAGCTAAGCCACAGAGTCAAGGTCCACCAGTGTGATACTTCGCAGTAGTAACCTTTACAGCACAAGCTTAAAGGAATACATTTTTTTAAAACAAAGTGCAGATGCAAAAAAAATTACTTTCAAATGTATTTTTCCATCTGATGGAACTAGAGTAATATTACTTGAAATCTTCTGGAGCAATATAAAGTTTACAGAATTGTCACTGAATATGGGATTTATCTTTATATCAGAGGAGATGGTATTTAAGATAAATCATTATATGATGTGACAAAATTCCTTATTGTTCATACTTATTTTTAAGTATTTAACCTGTGGAAAGAGTAGTCCTGTTTATGTATGTATTTGCTTTCTACCTTACGTCCCTCAGAAACTTTGTTTACTTGAATAATCCTGTTTAATGCAAGAGAGTCACTCATGTCTAAGGTTATTTTCATGTTTAGTAATAGATCAAGCTGTTCGACATAAAAGGAATGAATTTCTTCTCAAAGTGTAATCTCTTTTCTGTCAAATACATACTTTAAGCTGCCATATTTAGACTTTTGCTCTTTCCCAATAGCCTTTTTCAAAAATAAGAATCCTTAAAATTTGCTCAAAAAATTGCACTTGAAACCATACGTGCTTCAGTTCACTTGACAAATTTGTGCATAAATTGGAACTCTCTTGAAAAGCTAATCTGCTCTCAATGGATTCTCTGTCCCCCAGATTGCAGTAGTTGAAGAAGATGGACGTGAAGATAAAGCCACAATTAAATGTGAAACTTCTCCACCTCCAACACCCAGAGCTATCAGAATGACTCATACCCTTCCTTCTTCATACCACAATGATGCCAGAAGGTAAGATGTTTGTAATATGAATTGATACTTCAAAATTTTACCACATAATATCCTTTTCAACTCGTGTTGGTTTTTGACTATTCCAAAATGACATGATTTCTTCCTGTTTCTCCTTGGCAATTGTTTCTCCTGCCATGAGAGAGGAATCAATTTTTCATCATTGTTCTTAGCAAGTTAAAAATGTATATTTTCAGACTTTTTTTTTAAAATAAGATTCAATCAGTCTGATGGGGAAGTGTGTCTTGTATTGCTCTACATGTTGCTAAATCATTTAAAGATGATGTGATTGTTTCACTTATTGGCTAGTTATTGCTAAAGTATAACCAATTACTTTGTTTGCAGAGCTGCTCAGAAGAAAAAAACAAACCTGCAAATGTTGACATGTTATCTATTTGATTTCTTTATTATCATTTTGTAGTAGTTTGCCTGCTTCATTGGAGCCAGAAAGCATTGGTCTTGGCAGTGTCAATAGCAGCCAGGACTCCCTGCACAAAGCTCCCAAGAAGAAAGGAATCAAGTCTTCAATAGGACGTTTGTTCGGTAAAAAAGAGAAGGCTCGACTTGGACAGCTCAGTAAGGAATTAGTGGTAACAAGCCAAGGTCACCATTTCACAGTCATTTTTCCATTTTTAATTTTGATTCGTCTCAGTTTCCAGTTTGCCTTTTTTTTTCTTCAGAACTTGCCCGTTAAACTTCATTGCTATCAGCAAATGAAAGGGAACTTCTGGCACAACTTACTAGTCATCCTCTTCACTGAACCTACTGCTTCAAAACTCTTGAATTAGGGTAAAAGTGCTAACAGTACATTCTCAAATAACCAAGATAGAGAAATAAGTAAAAAAAACACTATAAGGGATGTAACTATGTGATATGGTAGGTCCTTGCAAGTAAGTGTAGTTGCTTTTCAGGTTTCATTGTGTCAATAGATATCTGCTAGTGCCTATCACTGAGTGTCTTCACCGTACTCCTTCAATTGGTTATGCTGCTAATGGCAATGCTTTATTTTCTTCTTACTTCTTTGTCTTTGACCTTAGTTTAATTCATTCCTTGTAAAAGGTTTCCTCTGAGATATTCCATAGGATACATCTATACCACATGGAGAAAAAAAATAAAGCAAAAATCAGTCATAGCATAACTTTATTTAACTACCTCAGGTAGTATAAACAATGGCAGGTGAAGCAACAGTCCTCAGCTGAGGTTCATCTTCTGCATGCCCAGGCAGGCAAATACATCCTTAGCTGCTGTCTATATTGCTGGGCTCTCTGATTTAGTGAGATTAAGATTAGCACTTATGCACATGCCAACACAAGCATCAAATTGGAATAGATGTGCCAGTAAAATAGAA